AAGAGAACCAAGAACAGATTACATTAACATGTTATTTAAGTTACTGGAAACAAATAGACATGATTGCTCTTTCATTTCTTTTGCTCCGTCACAGGGAAGTCAGTAGAAGATGCCTCACAGTTGTCCCTGCAGCACATGGGTGATCGGGTCCAAGGAGCAGGTGGTGCCATTGTAGTTTCTCCATCAGGGCAGTGGGCTGCTGCATTCACCACCAAGCGGATGGCCTGGGCTGCTGCTGAAGATGATGTGCTGTGGTTTGGAATAGACCCAAAGGAGAAGCTCAAAGAGAAACTGTCCCTGTAGAAGATTTTGTTTTTATTATATGTATTTTTTTTTATTAGAAAATGAAATGCACCTCTAAAACAGTTTTCTATTTTTTATTGGTGTTTTTTGGGAGATGATTTTTTGTTCCAACTAAGGTGTGTAAAATAAAAAAAGTATTTTACAATAGTAATCAATAAAGCAACATTGAATAAGTTTTGACCAAAGTATTTGTTGAATATGAGATTTATCAAATTATTTTTATGGTCAATGTATAGCATTTGGCATAATCCTTGTGAGCTGCCCTTCTCAAAAACTCACCTCTGTAACTTAAGACGGTTGGATCCATATGACACCCACCTTATCAGCGATATTGTTGGTTCTCTGATGTGAGGGGTAAATGTCGACCAGCCTTCACAAGGACCTACATGACTATTCAATCTGCTAGTCGAAAGTGGTCTTCTACAAGAATCCAAAACATGGAGGGAGGCTCTTTAATTTTGCAATATTTCCAGTTTGTTTTTGCTTCTATGTAAGAAATATGAAGGAAATGTTATGATTAGCCGAGACAACAAGCACTTCTATGGTATTTGCAATGTTTTAACTTCTTTTTTTATATAAGAAATTGTTTTTTTTTAGAAGTGGATCTGTGGAAGATAAACAGTCTTTTTAGAATAAGAGTTTTTTTAGACATTGTATTGATAACATCTCCATATACTCTGTTTCACAGGTTGAACTCTAACTTTGGAACTTCAGAAATTGATGAAGTGTAAAATTTTTAAATGCTTAAAACAATAAATTTGATAGTAATGTTTACTTAACAGACTCTTACTCTTTTTTTGCAATGACTATAAGTGTAGATGAACATAAGGGGGCAGGTTAGTATTGAGAATATGCCAACTGTGGAATAAATCTTCTAAGTTAAAACTAATTTTGTTATAACAGAAAAAAAAAGGTTTGAGGCAGTACTGCAAAGACTAGGGTAAATCTTCATGTGATACGGGGATGGTGACAGGAAGGGCATCTGAAGTAAAAGCATTGCCGATTCTGTGACTACGTTTGACTTATAGCGGTGTCCCCTAACCAATGGTGAAACAAAGAACATACACAAAACTGGTTCCCTGAATGTCACCTAATGAGTTCAAACCTAATGAACAACAGTGGCTCATGTGGGAAGTCAATTGCTGTCAAGCTGCTAGACCTTTTGCTACTGGACCTACATGGAATATATATGTTCCTAAAGGGTGTTTCTCCTTGTGGACTGGAATTTTTTAATTGTCTCCACAATTGCTGCATGCATGCTCATTGTGAGGGGTTGCTGAAGAATCCACAACACAACACAAATGCATATCAGCTGTTCATGCTCATCCAGGAAAGGTCTCCTGTCAATTGCTTGATACAATCAGCTGATATTCCTTAGATAGATCTCATTTGACTGTATGGACTTATTGAAGGATCTCTGTAAAGTGTCTTTTTCGTGAATTGGCACTATATAGCCTAAATAAATGTAATTGACTTGAAAGAGCCCAAGAAGACCTAGATTATTTGAAAGAAAAACACAAAAAAGGACAGCCTCGTGTTACCTTACAAGCAAGATGAATTGTCGCGAGTTCTGTGAATGCCCAAACTTACATGTAATCCCAAATAAACTGTGCAAAATTCAAACTGAAGTACACATATCAATCTGGCTTATGTCAGGTTAAATGTATTGTGGCGGATTTTTGTGAATTTTTAAAACCGCAGAAAGGTGAGCTTTAATGATTGGCTGAAATCGTAGCTCACCATACATATGTATCTGAAGGGACAAGCATAGGACGTTACGTTAAAATATCACCAGAATGATTGACAATTAGGAGGACTAGTTATTTAGATGATCCACCCGGAAATAAAAGATCGTCCTCTATACCCACGATGACTGGAATGAGAAAAGGGGTCTTAAATGTAACTGAAGCGTTAAAAACAACATTTATAACGTTAGTAACAAGAGCAAAATTGCTTTATGTATATATATATATATATATATATATATATATATATATATATATATATATATATATATATATATATATATATATATATAAAATTATAATGAAAAAGGTAAAATAAATGCCAATGTCTTGCTTTGTTTTTTTTTTCATTGTGTCAAATGTAACCTTGTAATCTGGTTAATAATACCTTTCCTTTGCATTAGTTTTAAGCTGTTTATTTAAGAAGTTTATTTAAGGTATTACTTATTTTTCCTTTCAATTGTTTTTTTAAGTTTTGTCTTTTATGTCTGTCACACTGAGATTTACTGTTTCATTAAATCCAACTTTTAATGCAGAAGAAATAAGCCTGTAGATGTCTGTCATGTCGAGAATGGGCCGCGTCGCTGTCCGTAAACAGAAACCACGTGACCCTCGTGGTCGGAGCCGTTCAGCAGCGGGACGAATGACGGCTCAGGAAGTTGCTGGGTGCAGCTGTGCTAGAATGTAACCTTACACGAGTGGATAACGTTATCGCAGCACGGTAGAGGTGAGAGTCTGCCACATACATACAAACTATTCACAATAACAACCCAAGCGCAGCTCTATAAAACACGCACCTCTAAAGGCATCGTATCAACATTTTTGCTACAAACAAACTTGATAGCAAAGGCCCGTGCTAATGCTAACTAGCTGTCGCCATGTCAGACATTCATCTTAAAGTTAAACAAAAAAAGAAATCCACATAAACGATGCATGCTTTGAATCCGAGTGCGATCTTTAACTCTGTAAATGTTTGAAATAGCGAGTTACAGTGCATTATATTTTTACACCAAAGTGAGGCATGCTAAAATCCATCATGGCGTTTTAAAGCGGATTGTTGTCCTGCAGTTAGCATGCTAAGCTAAGACGTTTTAACTGATTCAGTAAGGCGTTGTTTTGATTGCAAGTGAAACAGGTGAGGTTTAGCCTAACTTAGATGGAAAATAAAGCCATGTGACAGATTTCTGGATAGTTATGTGGTTTTTTAAGTGTTTAAATTTGGCCTGTTTTGGGATTTGTTGAAAATATTGGATACACGTCATCCACTCCCATTCAACACACTTAACGGTAACTAACAGCGATCAAACGGAGGTTGTTTACAATCTTTGTCCCTGTTGATTGGCCACATGTAATCTAATGAATAGCAAGTCCCGGTAGCGAATATTAAAGTTTGCATGGCCTAGTTGTAGTAGTTTTTTTATTTTTTCGTATATGGTCACAGGAGGGTTGTCAGCAAACATTTTCTGACATTGAGCAACTTTATTTGTTAAAGCAATGCAATAGACTTTACTTAAAATCGTGTCTATTTTTGTTGATTAGAAAAATAGTAGCATTTAAAAAAAGTTTCCATGCATTAATTACAGTATTTTTTTTAAAAGTAATATCTTGTTAATTAATCTTTGACATTTGTACCTTCTTATTCATTATAAGTGTGGGGTTATTGACTTGTTGAATTTATTTAGGGAAAAAAAAAGTAATGTGATTTGTAGAAACTTTTCTCAATTCAAAACGTCATGATGGATCGTTATGCAGGGTTCCCGCAGATCCTTAAAAAGTCTTAAAAGGCATTAAAATTCTTCAAATTTTTCAAAACCATACATATAAAATCAAGGCCTTAATTGGTATTAAAATGTCTTAAATCAGTCTTTCAAAGGTTTTAAAATGGTTTCCACAACATAAATAGGATTTTAGTTTTGTAATCCATATTGAACAATAAAATAATTTACAATATTTTTCGTACATTTACCAAGCTGATCGCTGTAACCATTATTGGTTTCGTCCTGATAGTGGAACCATTACAAAAGATGTTGTGGCCGGATCTTGGGATGATGTGCCAGTAACTTTTTATCTGGACAACATGGGGAATTTTTAAATTCAACGAAAAAAACGCCATCCATCCAAGAGTTTTCTGCATGGCTAAAACCACTACCAGGGAATGTAGAGGAAGCACGATGGGAATCAAGGCAGTGGAGACACATGTTCAAATCACGAAACTCAAAGCGTCAAAATCAAGTTAAAGAGAAGCAGCAGGTGATTCTCTGTTCTGTTCCAACCTTACTCTGCAACTCCTCCACAGCATCTTTCACATCACCAACAGCGCTAGTAGAACTGAATATCAGGAAAATGCTTGGTGGTACGCCACTAATGAATGCAGGGGAACAAAACAAAGTTGGTGAATTCAGTTCATTAGTTGTTAAAAATATATGTTATCTGTTTTTCTTTAGCTTTCTTCCCATATGGAAAGTTTTAAAAAAAATGTGAAACATATCTACTTGGCCAGAAAGTAATGGTTTATGTTAAAATAAACATTTGGGGTAAATTTGTCGCTACCAGGTTTTTATTGTTTTTTGTCAAGTTGGTCTTAAATTTTTATTTTAAGTGGCATTGAAAAGTCTTGAGTTGAACTTACCTTATGCTGTAGGAACCCTGTTTTGGCTTAAAACAAGATACTAATAATACGGGCCACCTTTTCATACTTTGTGTTTGTTGTTTTGATCCAGGTAGGCAGCAGCATTCATGGATATTGTGGACACCTTTAACCATTTAATACCCAGTGACCAGTTGGATGAGTCCCTAACGTTGAGTCAGAATCTGGAATGTGATGCAAGTAATGAGTTAGGCACAGGATCCAGACTCGAAGACTCTCTGAAGAACATGCTCAGTGACAAAGACCCCATGTTTGGATGTGCAAGCACTCAATTCAATCTGCTGGAAAATGAAGATCCCACTTTTCACATTGCTGGCTCAGCAGGTAAGTCTAAAAGTTGGATAAAATGATTACATATAGATTTGTGGTTCAGACTCTAAACAGTTAAAATGTTCACCAGGTCTTTGAAACCCTAAAAAATCCTTAAAGGATTTTACTTAGTAGATCTTTAACCCAGTTTGACCTAAGTTCAAATACTGAAATGTGCTGGAAAACATTGCCATAGTAACCAGCTGTGTGTACTGTTGACCGAGGATTATAAGCGGCTACATTGTATGACTCAATGGCTTTAATTTAAATCAGAAAATCAATACTTACGGTGTGTGCAGATATAAAACATATAGGTAAATGCTGTCACTAAGTGACATTTATTTTGAATTTGCTACACAAGCTAAAGATATAATTAGAATAAACAACTGTTAAATTCATTAATATTTGTCAGTAAACTTGCAGAGTATTATTTGGTTTTGCCATTTTGTTCCTGTAAGCTTGATGTCTGCTCAGGTAGCTGTTGGATTGATAGACTTTATTGAACTCACAGTGGAGAAATTTACTTCTTACATCAGCTCAATAGTCCAAAAGAAGAAGGAGGTGCCAAATGGAGAAAAGGTGCATGGGGTATACACAAGGATTACTATAAAGGGTTATTGCACAGCACATTAAAATTATATTCATATAAATAGGTATTTATATAATGTTTTTGCACTAGGTAATAAATATAAAACAGGTTATTACACAGGGTATTAAATCATGATTGCACATTAGAAATTGCAAAAGTTATTGCTTAACAGAACTCCCACTCATACCGTATTCAACTTTATTTGTTGTAAAGAGTTTCTTTAATAAGACCAATTGGTGATCCTTATTTTTCAGAAGGGATTTATTTTTAGCTCTTGTGCAGCCAGCTGCCCAGCAGTGCTACCTATTGTCCAATACAGCTGGAGAAGGCTTAAGTTTGAACCATAGAAACAGTAACATACCAATTTGGAGCAGTTTTGAAGCCTTTCTCACATTTGAGTT